TGTGATTTACTACAAATAATAATAGTGTTGAAGAATCTTACTTAAATCGTTGAAAATATAGGGACTTTTATGACACCAATAATTTATAAATATGTTCCGAAACCTTATGAAAAATATATTATGTAAAACACAGGCGTAGAGATTTTAAATAATTTAACACTTGTGTTTACAATATTTTTAAGTTAGGCTAACAAATAAGAGTCATAGAAAAAATCAAAATGTATTTATTCCATAGATTTGTTTATAGGAATATTGGCACGATCAACAAAAAATATATGTATGTAAATTACAATATTTCAAAATTAAAATATAACATATTAAGCAAATATAACATCATCATCATCATCATCATTCTCAAGTTATTCAACCATTTCCAATTATGGTGTAGCCTAGTAGTAGAGATCCCGAGCTATGTATTAGTTGTCTCAAATATACAGGGTGTTTCTTAATGACATGCTAATATTTAAGGAGGCGATTCTTGGGCCCATTCTAAGAAAAAAACTTCATATGAATATGCCGATTTTGTCATTTTAGATGTGTGGTCTGAACTGTAAGACAGAGAATAATATAAATGACCGGTTGACAGACAGAGAGACAAAATCAAAAGTGGCATACAGTGTTGCCGGTTTTTTTGTATGAAAATTTATGTAGAAAAAAAAAATATTTTAAAAACTTTCATGTGTACTACTGAAATGAAGATAATATATCTAAGCTAAATATAATCTGTTACATCTGTAGTAAAATGTAACTAATTGTGAAAAATAAAGTTCCAACCCTAAATGCAACATTTTCCATAAACGCCTTCTTGTGCGGTTTGAACTTTTGATGCGTAATCCGGCAATACCGCATAAAAGAAATGTATCAACCTAACTGTTATATCTTTTTAATACATTTGATTTTCCATTAAGCTGCCTACATCACTATCGTACACGTTAAAATCCAGACCACACTTCTAAAATGACCAAATCGGTATGTCCTAAATCTCTTAACTTTTCAGATACAGGGTGGTAAATTTTCTATTTTTTTTTCAAAATATCTCTAATGTCTTATTTGATACTACATTTCATCCATGCATCAAAATGCTAATTTTGATACACAAAAAAAATGTTTTATTCCTTAATTTCCTTTCAGCCGATGAAGAAATGATTTCCACACAACAGTCACCGCATCAGATTTTCAGCGATTTCACCCTGAAATAAACTAACTATGTATTTAAGCAAAAACTATGACTCAGACGAAAAAATCAAGTGAAAAAAATATTTAGCAATGAATGGAAATTTTGAAAATATTTTTTTATATTAAGAGAAGTCAATGGTGTATCACTTTTTACTCCAAATGTAAAAGCCGTATGGACGGCACTGGTTAAAATAAATAAAATTATTTGTACGCCAAAAAAAGGTATTTTGATGTATAGAACACGTTGTATCAAGTTTCATAAAGATATCTATAATAAAATCAGAGTTATTAAAAAAAATTAGAAAATTTTACCACCCTGTATCTCAGAAATTAAGATTTTTAGGACATACATTCATATGAAGTTTTTCTCTTAGAATAGGTCCAAGAATCACACCATTAAATTATTAGCATGTATTTAAGGAACACCCTGCATGTTAGGGTGAGCCAAATAAACTAACCTATGGAATTTATGGGTTAAAATGAACCAAATAATGTGCTAATAGCCGAGAAAAAAATATCACCGGAAAGCAAGATTTTTAGCTCACTTCTAAAAGGTGTCGGGGAACATTCAACACGTAAAAAAATCTTCTTCCATTAAAAGTACCATAACTTTGAAACGGTTTACGATAAAAAATAAATTACATACTTATAGAGCATAAAATTTAAGATTACAGTTGGGGGTTGGAACCTTTGATGTTACACAGCAAAATAAAACACTAAATCACCACAATATACCAAAACACTTTTACTTTTACACTGGACGCGCGTTTCGCTAACCATGTTAGCATAATCAGCAGATGATTAAAAACTAAACTACAATCTACAATTTTAACGTACCTAAACGTTAACGTTACGTTTATTTATTTATCGTATGGCTGCACATGACATAAAATGCATAGAATTGTATAAAAACTATTCCAATTCACAAACAAACATTTAAATTGTATATATAGTCAATTGAGGCGTCACTTGCCATCAGGAAATCGTCAAAGTTTCCCTTATATGCTGTATTTGGGCATTCCATCACCATATGTAGAATGGTTTGTTTTTCCGCTCCGCAGTCACACCTCGCAGATTGCGCCCTACCCCATTTGTGTAATGAGTCCGCGCATATGCCATGGTTGGTGCGTATTCTGTTCAGTGATGTCCATATTTTACGGGGCTGTTCGAAGGCAGGAGGTTTCATTCTTATGCACGGAAGATTTCTGCCTTGCGGGGGGCGGTTGTCTGTCCATTTTCGTTCCCAAAAGTCTATGGGGTCAAACTGTGACGTGTGCAGTTCTCTTGCAGTTCTTATAGGTTGTCTTCTGGATCGTAATCTGTTTCTGCATGCTTTATCCGTATCCTGGTGTATGGGAAGTTGAGGGTTGCCTTGTATACGTTTATATTCTCGGAGAAGCGCTGCCTTGCGCCGGAAATCTGGAGGAGGTATATGGCTCAATATTGGTAGCCAATCGGTAGGAGTCGATTTTAGCGTTCCGCTGATTATTCTCATGGTCTCATTTAGTTGTGTGTCTACCTTTTGGGTATGCGCACTGTTGAGCCAGATCGGTTACGTTACATTTAAACTACAATCTGCAATAATACTCGCTCAGTGGGCACCGGGTGGGCGTGGCAAGATCTAGCCAACCGAGTCAGAGCCCACCGAGCGTAACAGTTAGATTTTCCCCACTAGAGTAGTAGGAACAAAGAACTTGAAGGAATTGAACCGTTGTCTCTGTTCATACTATCTTTACATTTATTAATTCTGATGCTTTCATATGCATCTAATTGCCTGTAATTTAAAACTTAATTAAATTTAAATTATTAAGATCTATACAATGTTCTTTATCAACAATATGTTCGGCAACGCAAGATTTATCCGGTCTACCATACCTTATTTGAGTTTTTTTATTACTATATCTTATTTGAGTTCTTTAAATCTAGTTATAATATTGATCTTCTAGTTTGCCCAACATATTTCTGATTACAATCTTTACAAGAAATTTCATAAATACCCGACCTTTCCAGTGGAGGTGTTTTATCCTTTGGATTACCTAATAATTGTTGTAATTTATTATTAGCACTATACGCAAGTTTATAATTGACATGCTTAAAAATTCCTTTTAAACCACGGGATAACTCTCTATCAAACGGTATTGAAAAATATTTTGACGTATCTTTCTCCATTCAAAAAGTCGAATTTTCAGAAATCATTAACCTATACCTACGTTTTCTAATTATTTTATCAACTAGTGAATGAGAATATCCATTACACTCAGCTACATTCCTAATGGAATCTCTTTCTATTCCATATCTTTCGTTAGTAAGTGGAAAACTAAGTAATATATGAACTAAGAAATTTAAACTAGCCATTTTATGTTCAACACTATGATATGATTCATTAGGAATATATCTGCGTGTAGTGGTATTTTTCCTATAGATATCAAATTCCAGGCAATTATTAGTATTTCTAATAACTAATACAGCTAGAAATGGTAATCTGTCGTTGTTCTCAATTTCATGTGTAAATTTAATGGAAGGAAAACGATCATTTAACTTAGAAATAAAATTATCTATGGTGTCTGAATGTGTGTCAAAAACAGCAAAAATATCATCCACATACCTAAACCATACTCTTGGAAAATACTCGAACTGATTCTTAGCCTCCACTTCAAACCTGCTCATGAATAAATTAGCCAAAAATGGAGACAATGGATTACCCATTGCTGTACCTTCCCGCTGTTCAAAAAAGTTGTTATTAAATGTAGTTCATTTTAACCCATAAATTCCATAGGTTAGTTTTATTGGCTCATCCTACTGTATAGATATTCTACTATTTCCAGTATTGTGTTATTCATTAGAAAGTTTTTTCTCTCTACTAGTTCGTTATACATTACTTTAGTTTTTGCTAAATTCATTCTGAGACCTACTTTATTGGTGGCTGTATCTGGTTCGTCAATTTGTGCTTGTGATTATTGACTATTAGGACTATATCATCAGCGAATCTTTATTTTTCTATTTTTATCCTTTGTTGGTCCAGTCCAGTTGACGGAAGATTTCTTCTAGTGTTGCTGTAAACAGCTTTGGGGATATCGCATCGTACTCCTTTGCCAGTTACTTGTATTAATTATCTATTGTATATATATAATTATTATATTAATATAGAAAAAAATAATTTACCACTAAAAGTATTTGTGAATAAAAGTTTTAATATAAAACTTTAATACAATTTTTAAATTTTGATTATCAATTTTATAATATGAGTATTTTAGAAATCCAGTTTTACAAGCTATTTATGCGTTATCTTTTCTTCAATGTCAAGTTGTATGATAGCCACAGTTCTTAAGAGGACATTAAGTCATTATATCCATTATTTGACTGGTAACTCTTGCTGCACAAAACATATAATTACTGGAATAAAAAGCTTTCTCGATTTTCCAATAAAAATTATTCATGGAAAAAACAGTGGCGGTAATGCAGAGAAATAAATATTCACATAAAAAAATTCAAGGATCGACCATTTTCCGATGTATTTTAAAAGCTTTTTAAGCAATAAAAATTGGGAAAGAACTAAAAAAAATAGTAACGGCATTTAACGTATTTGTTAAACAATATAAATCTGGAATACAAAGAAGCAATTCTAATAAAAATTCACTCCGCCACTGACCGTATCTTTTCCTTCCTCTAAACTGGGCTGTAGTAAATCCAAACCAGCAAGGCAAACCCCTAATAAAACCTGCCATTAGATAAGCAGTTTTTTTCAACCTAATTGCGCCAATAGTTCGACTATACGTCGTATGGTTTTTTTCCTGTTGCATAGTTCTTACAGTGACAGTCTCAAAATGGCAAGCGAAACAGAGCTGTTCAGGTTTTCGAAACATTTGTTGCTTGTCACTGGTTTGATGCCGCTGCACCAAATCAAATGGCCTGCTTTTTATCAAAATATGTACAGAGGGATGTCTTTGGGGATGCAAGCAGTATATGGGACATGTATTGTGCTTTTTACAATCGAATTGATGATAGTTATTAAAACAGACACTCAAGCAGGTAACTAATACAATTTGTGTTTAACAAGAGTATAGTTATGTAGAGTAGATAAATAATTTTTGTAATTCAAGAAATAAATTCACTTATAACTTTGGAGATGTACACTCAGATGGAAAAAAAACGCAACAGAGAAAGAAATTTTTGGTCAAATTTAAAGTGTTATATTTTTGTTAATTTTAGCCCTATTGGCATGATTTTTTTAGCAAACTGTATATAATTATATCAACTTTAATTCGTAAACTCAGTTTTTTGTAAACTTTAGTAATTGGCATATTATACAGGGTTAATCGAGGGGTTGTTTTTTATCCTAACTTTAAAACACCCTGTGTAATAATTTCGTGTGTAAATTTTCCTAAAATATAATTTTACGGTAAGAACCATGTCTCCTGGGCATTTTGTTTTTTGGATCACATCAATACATGCTTTGATTAATTTTAAAGAGCGAAATGAACTGATCACGATCAATTTGCAATTTTTTCAGTTATCGTTACATTTGATGTAATTTTTTAAAAAGACGAGATGGTTTTGGTGACTATTGTTGTAACGTCATATTACGGATGCATCGGATAATCTATACTAAATTTAAAAAAAAACGTTAAAGACTAATGATACAGTCCTGGGTTTAATAAACATTAATAACGATAACAGAACTAACAATATTAAGGAAAACATCTGTAACACAAACTTAAAAAAATGTAAAAAATACCCTAATACTTTGTATTGCTCCTCTGGCTGCTATAACTGCCTGTATACCTTTGTTCATACTGTCATTTTTTTCCCATTCTTCCAAAACCAAACCAAGCGAAGTTCATTTAATGAAGCTGGTAACGCTTCGGGACCTCTAACCCTCCTACCAAGCATTTCCGAAACGTCGAACATGATGGGCAGTTCATAGTAGTATATAGTTTACAATAACCACCAAAGCTGCCTCGTCATAGTGAAAAAAAAACTTCAAAAATAAATTATAATTGAAAAAATTACAAATTGTTAGCGGCAAGTTCATTTCGCTCTTAATAATTAGCCAAGGTATGTATTGACATGATCCAAAAAACAAAACATAGTTCTCACCCCAAAAATTATATTTCAGGAAAATTTACACTCGAAATTATTGCACAGGGTGTGTCAAAGTTAGGGTAAAAAACAACATTTCGATTAACCTTGTATAATATGCCAAATACTAAAGTTTATAAAAAACTGAGTTTACAAATTAAAGTTGATATAATTTTATACGGCTTGCTAAAAGATTCATGAAAATAGGGCTAAAAATAACAAAAATATAACAGTTTAAATTTAACCCAAATTTTCTCCGTTGCGTTTTTTTTGCATCTGAGTAGAATATTTGGAAGGGGGATTAATCACCGCGACCTTACATATCTATTGTGTGACCTGCTTTCTTGAGTTGTAACGAGTTATCATCATACAGTCTCAGGGCTTTGACAAAAGCTAGTATCTGAGACGGATTTACAGAGGCTATAATTTTCCATCTCCGATATCAGTCGTACCAAAGTTTATGGCACTAAAGATGGTTGTCTCGGCGCAGTCAATGATGAGGTGTTCTGCTGTTTTTCCATTTTCCTCAAAGAATCTGCATTCGCAGTTATTTCTAAGCTTCGACCTACTGAGGTGGTCGTTGAGAAGACAGTGTTCTGTTAAAAATCCCATGACAATCTGAAGATTATTATAGAAATAAAATGCCGCCGATTGACGGTACTTTTTGTATACACTAATAATAGTGCCGGCGCGGAGGTTGTTTAGTCAGTGCCATAGAAGAAGAATATACAGGGTGTCATTGAAATGGTGTAAAAAAATTGGGGAGGGGGGGGTGATAGTACTCCTAAAAATAGTAAAAAAAGTTCCTATAAGTATAGGGTGAAAAATGCATATTAAGGGAGTTAGGGGCACTGAAAGAGTGAATTTAAAAAATGGTTGTTTTGAAATTGTAGGCTTAAAAACGAGATAAAATTTCGAAAAAAAATCCTCTGCAATCAATTTTAACCCTAAATCGAATGGTGATAGTGAAAAATTATTTGGAAAAGCGGGAAGGGTAGTTTTTGCACGGGTAGGGGGTTGTTTGGCGAATAACTTTTTTGAGGTTATTTCTTTGCAACGTGGGTTTATTTTTTGAAAACTACATTCTTTTTCCTACAAAAAATGTATTCTTGTTGCACATCGCCCAGAGCGATGGTTTTCGAGAAAATTGAAGGCATAGATTTTGCTCTTGTAACAGTCAAATTTCCTTGCAACGACCTCTGTATGCTAGCTCATAAATTATCGCAAATAACTATTATTTTTGCATCATGTTTACTATAATTTTATTGTTAAATATTATTTTATTTAAATTTTACAATTATGCAACCCGATATACACCGCGATATTATACATATATTGTCACTGATGCCGACCAGCAGTAGGCTTTTTGTCCATCTCTCTATATCTTTGATCATCACCTCCGTCACTTGTCACTGTCAGATCAAATCAGACGTTTTTGGATTTATTTATCCTTTATTTTGGTTATTGAAATTTTATAATAATCAGATAAAATTTCGTAGTTAAATTGGTTATTTTTGATGTGGATCCTGGAGGGAGATTTCCGGTTGAAATCTGATTTTGTGAAGGAAATCGAATCCTTGCATCACTTCTTGTGTATCCACCGTCAGAATATCGTCGTGAAGAACTGGCTGCCGTTTCGTGAAGCATTCCCTGTTGGTGAATACCAGGTCTTCGTACAGAAGGATTAAGGCTTCCGAAACACATTTGGTCAGAGACGTGGTTGGATTTTGTTTAATTTACATGGACCACCGACCAATTTCCGTAAGGGATTAAATAGCCAAATTTTTCCGACCGATATCCCGATTCCACGTGCCCAAGAAGTCCCCGAACAGTTCCAAGGTATGCTATAATTCTTCTGCCTATTCTAAGTCAATGCTCAACTGATTTTTGTTCATATTGTTGTCTGGTTTTCGACTTTTCCACGCCCACGTGGTGTAGAAAGATTAGTTGAGTGTTATCTTTCTTAAGTCTTATTTGGTTGTTCGTAACTGTAGAGCAAGAAGACCGATCCAGACCGTAGTGCACAGAACAGTCCAGAATTCCATCCCTTCCTGTTGCCCGTGTGTAGAGTTACCCGTTGGACATCATAAACCCTCGTTGAGGTAAAGTTCAGATTTGATTAGTCCTTCTTTATTACCTTTATTAACTCCTACACGTTGTGCTAGTCCTTGTTCTATAATTGAGGCTCTTTTCTAAGACAACCAATGTTATTTAGGGTTTTTTGTGTTCACCATTTGAAGTCCTACACCTGCCTGTACATTTGCTGCGGGCTCCAGTGACATTGCATCGAGCTGCTGTACACCGTCGTAGCCACCCTGTAGCTATGCACTATAGCTAAGCCGAAGGAAGTTTCAGTAGTTTGCAAGTACTTGTCAAGACATTACGTTAGAGTAATACTGTACAATTTTAGTTTAGATTTAGTTTGATATTTGTAATACACCCAGGATATTGTACTTAGTTTAAGTAAGGAGGATTATGACGTCATACTTTTAGTTAGTTTTCTTGATTTAAATTTTATTCTATTTTTCAACGTTTATTCGTTTCCATTTCTTTAAATATTAACTTTTGATATTTAATAAATTGCTTAATCATTTGTAGTAGTATTATTTACAGTCTAGTTTCATAGTTAAGTTAGAGTCACTTAAGTACAAATAGTTATAGTAAGATTTGAAGTTCATGGTAGTTACACTCAACAGTTCGAGGTTAGTTTTGAAGTCTACTTAATAGTTACATCTTTATTGCCGAGTTCATAGAGTATAATCTCGTGGCGCCCTTTTATTAACATCTTTGAACCCCGACCACCCGGCTGTTAAAATTAAAAAGCTAGTGGCCTCTATGCAACTCATTCAGATTAAGTAAACTTTGTGTTTTATTTCAACTTTGTGTGAACTTCAGATTAAGAAAGGGCGTAGCTCTGATGGGTTGCTAACTGGTTAATCAATATAAACTTATGAAAGTTATGGTGGTTCAAAAGTAACCAAGTAGTTATTAAATAATTAATTGGAAAATCATAAATTTCATGATATTTAAAACATCTTATTGCTTTAAAAACGAAATAAACTTTTTTGGTTTTAAAAAAAATTGGTTTACTTTAATGCCAATTAATACTGAAGCGCAACTACGTCAACACATTACTGACTGTTCCAATCAAATTCGGACAACACCAAGGATATTCCACAGGGTACGCAGATCGTGAATAAGAATATCAGATGTCTGCATTGAAATGAATGGTGGTCACTTTGAACATTTACTATGAATGAATTAAGGAATGCATTATTTTAATAAGGAATTTTGGTAATTGGATTATTTCGTTTTTTAAAGCAATAAGATGTTTTAAAAATCACGAAATTTTGATTTTTCAATTATTATTTGATAACTACTTGATTACTTTTGAACCGCCATAGCTTTCATAAGTTTATGTTGATTAACCATAGTTAGCAACCCATCAGAGCAAACTCTTTGCCTTCAATTTTCTCGAAAACCATCGCTCTGAGCGATATGCAACAAGAGTACCTTTTTTGTAGGAAAAAGTATGTAGTTTTCAAAAAAATGAACCCACGTTGCAAAAAAAATAACCTCAAAAAAGTTATTCACAAAACAACCCCCCACCCTTGCAAAAACTACCCTTTCCGCTTTTCCAAATAATTTTTAAGTATCACCATTTGATTTAGGATCAAAATTTATGGCAGAGGATTTTTTTTTCGAAATTTTATCTCGTTTTTTAAGCCTACAATTTTAAAACAACCGTTTTTTAAATTCACCCTTTCAGTGCCCCCAACTCCCTTAATATGCATTTTCCGCTCTATACTTATAGGAACTTTTTTTACTATTTTTAGGAGTACTATCACCCCCCGATTTTTTACACCATTTCAATGACACCCTGTATACTGAAAGTGCGTTAATTTAAATTTAATACTCTACTTAAATACTGCCACTACCCCTCCCAGCTCAATCTCTGAATGCGCCATTGGATTATTTCAAATATTTAAATTGATCTTTCCCACACCTTATATATTTTTTCACATTTTTTTAGCCTTATTTTAACAGAAATATTAATTTTCACTAAGCTTTGCAAATGAAACGATTCAGGAAACCTGTTGTTAAAATCGTACCACTGGACTTCCTATATCCTACCTACCATTTGAAATATATCTGCAGCATTATGTACATACTGCTACTTAATCATAGTTTGAGAGTGGTTTAAAAACGTCACATCATACTTTAACTTGTTAATAAATATCAAAAACACATCTTTCAAAACATTATTTTTATCTCCTTTGGCAACTACTACTGTCAGTTCAGTTTACAGCTAATCTTATACCTCAAATCACCATTAGTGTAAACATTTCTTTTTACAAACCAAATGCTACAAATTCAAAATCCATTTGTTACATTTACAATAATACCTACAGCCTTACAGACGTATTACAGCAAGACGTCGCGTCGCGTCGCACTGTGGTCAATTTTTAAAAATTAACTGGAAAATATTAAAAAATCTGATGAGGCTAAGCGGCGTCAAAAACTCCATAAGTAGGCTTTGAAATAGTTGCTAAGAACATTTCATTAACAAATATGTCAAAGGTCGTTGCGAATTTACTGTTATTTTGATTGAAAATGTAGTATAGTTGACAAATTAAACTAAATAATCTTGTTATTTGCACATGAATAAAGTTTTTGATTTGCGTATTCCGTGCAAAAAGTTATATGCCATTAATACTATCTAAAATGGAAAGAGCAATTGTTGTTGGTAAGTTTTTTGACATTAATGTTCTTCTGTTGAGTATTAAATATGAGTAAATAATTTTGATATGGTTAGATTAATTTTTAAATTATTAGAATATACATTTTTTTCATGAACTAGCAGAAAAAAGTCTTATGAGGTTTCAGTTTTAAATAAAGTTAAGTTGATAGTTAAACCATTAGACAACTTTACCAAGCCTACAAATTTACCGTCCTAGTCCGTCTGTTATGTCCAGGCCATTTTTTAGGAAGTATTGCCTATATTAGACGCTTGGAGGTAGTTGACCTTTTAAAAGCAACTGTTAGCAAAATCTGTAAGATCCATAATATTATTCTTATAATATGATAATTTTTAAATATCTAACATATGCAAATGATCGCGACCAAACTTTTATTCGAAACCAACAAACGAAAAGATGTAGTGTACATGAAATTTGTACACAACAACATGACATTGTCAAAAGTCGGAGAGATAACTTATCTAAAATATACCGGTTATGGTGATTACTATCTTTTTGTCCAATCAAAACTCTCTTACAAACACTAAATCTATTAATTTTTGGAAATCCATCATTTTCTATAGCGCGACAAAGCGACGAAAACAAAATAATTTGAATCGATCTCGCCGCTCGATCTAACCGCTCGAGCAGATCGCTTTACTATGTTTACGCGTACATGTCTTCACAGGTTGGTTTTGGACGCGACGCGACGTCGCGCTGCTTGCTCGCCGCTCTCCTCGTCGCTCCACTATGTTCTCAGCCTTAAAGCGGCCCTCACACGATCAATAATATTGCTAATATTTTTTATTGTCAATATTTTATCAATATTTGAAAGGTGGCCTGACACGGTCAATACATATATCAATATTAAGTTTTGTGCAGATATTAAGTGTGAATTATACCCTATACCAAAAAATAAAAGATAAAAAAAAGCGTGTATTGCCATCATTTTGGCATATGTAAGTGAGAAAAAATCGAGGTAAAAATTTATAAAAAGGCGTTGGATCAAAAATGGATTTCAAAAATAAAAAGGTTTGGCCAACTAAATCTTCTAGAGTACAGTACGTCTGCTGGACCTGAGTCTATGAAAGGAATGCGGACAAAAAACATTTAAATAAACAACAATATATTTTATACGTCGACTTGACGAGTACGTCACCGCAAATCGCTCCGCCCACTCATTTTACTGGCTACTTGCAAATTTGTCGAATTTTTATTGATGGGATGCGTCGTCTAATTTTTTACGAAAAACATGGAGTGAATATCGTTTGCCCTCTCACGGATACCCCGTAGCTACAAAACGGACAGACGTACTGTACGTTAAGAAACAAGATCCTGATGATTGCGATCTAAAACTGGTGAAAACAACGACAGCGATGTTCCGTCTTCCGCCATGGTTACCAATAAACTAGTCAAATCTTGTCAATCATGCGACCTAACGATCAATATATTGTCAATACGACTAGCTCCGCCTTTAATATTGTCGAGTATTTTCAGGGTCCCGAAAATCCATCAATATATTGAAAGTACTTCAATATGTACGCTCAAACGCTCAATAATATTGTCAATAATACAAAATATTGACAATATTATTGATCGTGTGAGGGCCGCTTAAGCGGCCCACAAACGGTCAATATTATTGCGCAATATTTCATATTGTGCTGGGTTTACATTGAAAGATTGCACGAAATATTGTGTCAATCAAAAACAGTTTGATTTTTATTGTGCAATAGTGATTAGTTTGTATCCTGTGTGGATAATAGTTCAGTATATTTTTGTTTTCTCTGCGTATTTGTCTCGCTGCTCGGTTCTATTTAGAATATTTAGATCAGTGGTTTGTCAGCAAATATGGGATCAAAAGCAAAAAAGGAAGAAAGACGATTTATTTTAGAATTCATCGAAATGAACCATTCTTTGCCAGCTTTATGGAATACAAAAAGCAAAGAATATAGCAACAGAAATAAAAAAGTGAACAATATGATGAACTACTTGTGAAATATAAGGAAAAATAGTATTTTTCCTTATATACACAGACGCTGATAGAAAACAATTGAAACGCAATAGCAGCTTATTTTTTCTTATCCATGTTAATCAAAGTGCAAAACGGAACTAGTTATTGAACAAATTTATTGTACTGTTTGGAGATAACTAACAATATTATTGGGTAATATTATTGCGCAAACATATTGACCGTCTGTGGGCCCCTTTAGGCGTGGACGTTAGTGCGCGTTGTATGATTTGATTGGTGGTCGTTGGTTGGTCTGGTTTGGTTTGGTTTTGTTTGGCTGCGACCAGCATTTGACTTAATGGTATTACTGGTCTCAGCTTGGTCGCAGCGACCAAGCTGTAACCGCTTAATTTTTTTATCATTTGATTTAATGACCTGGCCGCTGGCTGGTCGTCAGTGCGATTGAGCTGTTAGGTTGTAAATAGTAAGAAAGTGAAAATTGTTAGACCCGGTTTCTTCAAATTCGTTGAACTATAGTTAACATATCTACAATTTAATCAATGGATTATAGAAAATAAATTAGTAGAGTAATATTATTCTTTAAAGATATTGAAAAGTCCAAAATCAATGTAAACTGACTTTAAGCTATAGAGTTTAAAAATTTATGTCTATAATTTTATAAATATACAAGTAAACAGTTGTGATAAAATCTAAATTGATTAATATGAATTCTTTTAGCACCGCCTGTTCTAGAATGTCTCACATTTGTCTCCGTTGTAACTGCAAAAATAATTTTACTACAATCGAAAAAAATGACAAATATAATTGACATGGCTTTTAAAGAAGAAGACCTTATTAATCAAGTGAAGGATAAAGCTACTCTGGACATTTACAGCCAACATGTAAAATATTGTAATAAAGTATGCGCAGTGATTCTTTTTTTCTTGTATGCTACTGGGGCTTTGTATCTCATCGATGGTAAGTATTGTAGAAAAAATTAAATATCTAAAAAATAAATACATTTAAAAGACTATAGGTACAACGTGGTATACTTCATATTAGTACCTATACAGTATGTTCCTGGATTGTCTTTACAAGAGGAAAAACTTATTTGTTATTGATATTTTGGGGAACATTCTTCATAAAAAATTTTGCTTGTTCCAAAATGGTTAATCCCATTTATACTTCTCAAAAAATATCCATACCGTTTTAGAGAAAATTAAGAAAAAGATGAAAATATAGTTCAATTTTTAATATAAAGTCCTTAAAATGAAAAAGCGTTTCTATGGTAATATCACTTCGATTTCATTTTTTGATAGATGGTTATTATTAATGATTTTGATTAACGTTATATTCTTTACTGTTGTTAAAGTCTTACGATAACCATCATCGCCTTTTCCATAGCATTCAACTAAATAAATTTTGTGCTTCTTTGACAATTAAAAACAAAAAATATTACATTAATTAAAATTCTATAAATAACAATTTATCAAAGAATGAAAACGAAGTTATATTACCATTGAAAAAAATATATTACCTTGTTTTATTAGTTTTCTCTAAAACGGTATAGAAATTTGGAAAAGTATAAACGGGATTAACCATTTTAGAAGAAGCAATTTTTTTATGAAGAATGCATTTTTCTCAAAATGTCTATAATAAAAAAGTTTTTCCTCTTGTAAAGACTATCCGGGGATATACAGGGTGGCGCCTCTCATACGCCGCGGAGGCTCAAAAGAGAACGACAGTTTGTATTGAAATAAAATTTTGTGAGCATACGTAGGTTAATTCAGAGCACTTTTTAAAAATATAGAGAGTCCTACAAGGTGTCCCCAAAAAAGTTACATATCAAAGTTGTGTTTTTTGTAATGGAACACCCTATATATTAATTGATTTTCGGATTCTGGGAGGAAAATAAAGGTGAGTTTTATAAAAGAAGTAGGTATATGACTAAAATGTAAGGTTTGTGAGATATTTAACATTTTCTAGAAATAATGAACAATTTTATAAATTACAATAAAAGCTACCTAAATTGGAATTTACCCGGTATAGCCTAATATGTAGTTAAACTAACTATTGTACTTAAAATCAAATTAAAACTTGATCCAAAAAGTTATACAGGGTGAGACAAAATTAATATTGAACATTGGTCACCTTTAAAAGCATGTTACTCTCTTATTTTAAATGGAACAACCAGTATATTATTCCGATATTCAATGGAGAATTAATGTCTGTTCAAAATACTATTAAGGTTACCTACCCCTCAAACAAAGATTTTTCCTAGATATTTTCATTTACATGATTTGATCTGAGTAGATCTTTATTATTTGATATAATCTAGGTGGCTGTGATATGTCTGACATTACTTCAACATAGCTGTCTAATTAGTCCAACTTTAACAACTAGTTATAATTTTGTGTCAGTTAAAACAAAAAAATTTCTGAGAAATTTGCCGAAAACGCAAACTTATTCTACATCAAAAAGAATTGATATGATTCTATTAGTTGGGGACTGCAGTGTGCATTTATCAATTAATAGAATACTTAAGTGCTCCTGATTTTATCTAGTCTGGTTTTTTTTATGGGGATATGTTAAAGACAGTGTTTACAAAACTCGACCAACTAGTGTCGACAACGTGAGAGAAATTATTGTAGCTGCTGTTCGAGATAGAACTCCACATATGCCTTTTAAATGAAAATATCCTTTTGAAAAGACAATAATCTTAGGCAGTTGACAGAAAAGGAATCATTTTGAGCACTTGATTTTATCTAGCTAATTTTTGTCGCTTAATTATAGGTTTATATCTAGTTTCAATTCTGTAATAATTAAAATATGTCTTAAACGTGTATCTTTTTATTACCCTTGAGTATTTTACTCTGCAATATTTAATTTTTGTTAAATAACAAAAGGTATATCACACAGCCACCTAGATTTTTTCAAATAATAAAGATTTACTGACGCAAAATCATAAAAATTAAAATATTTGGGAAAATCTTTTTCTGAGGGGTAGGCATCCTTAATAATATTTTGAAAATATATAAATTCCCCATTGAATACCGAAAAAATATACTGGGTATATATAAAAGTGACTAATGTTCCATATTAATTTTGTCTCACCCTGTATAACTTTTCGGGTCTAATTTCAATTTGGTTTAACATACAAATGTATGTAATTAAATATCCGGCTATACAAGGTCAACTAAAATTTAGATAGCTGTTATCGAAATTTAAAATTTACTCTTCCTTTTCACAAAACGTGAAATATGTCAAAATCCTTAGATTTTAGGTATATGCTTCGTTAATAAAACTCACCTTTATTTTTATCCTAGAATCCGAAAATCAATTAATATATAGGGTGTTATTAGAAAAAACACAACTTTGATGTGTAACTTTTTTTCGGGGACCCCCTGTATAATTCTATATATTTTTATAAAATGCTTTCAGTTAACCTACATATGCTGCCAATATTTTATTTCCATATAAACTACCGTTCTCCTTGGAGCTTCCGCGGCGTATGAGAAGCGCCACCCTGTACTGTATAGAAGTTACAATTAAGTACATACAAAGTTAAAAAATTCCTCGTGTTTTGTTGTGGCCTTCTGAGACTAAATTATCTGTTTAGGTTCTAGAAAAGAAGAGTTTGAAATATCTGTAAAATGGATTATCCTAATTAGTATATAATAATCATAACAAAAAAAAATATTAAGAAAAACTCTTAAAAATTCAAATAATATTGAAATATTTTTTTCTGTGGCTTTTTAGGATATATCGAAAATAAAGCATATCTCAAACAATATTTAAAAGAATATAATTATAATAAGACATTACTTGCAAGACCACATCCAGTACCAGTATGGTTTCCATTCGATAAAAATAAACATTATAACCCAGCAATTTGTTACGAGGTGTTCCATATTACATCAACTGTAGTGTACAATAGTGCTGCACAACAGTTAATAATATCAGGTATTATTCTGATCGAAGTTAACTATATCTATTACTTTTTTAATGTTTTTGGTGTTGTTTTGTTTTTTTAATGTTTTATCCAGTTTCCAGCCACTCTCTTAATATCTGTCCATCGACTAGGAGGTCGTCCTCTGCTTCTACAGGGTGAGTTTCCTACGATGTTCTCATGTTCTCAGGTATCTCGGAAACTACTGGTGATAGAGAGTCAGTTAAATGAGGAAAGAATTGCAGTTTTGTGAGGTCATAAATATGCGCCTTTGAAATTTTTGAAAAAGTTCATGGCTTACTTTATATTTCCAAAAAAACAAATTTTGTCTATTTTAAAAGTTGTCCCTAATTACATTATAATATATTTTAGACAAAAAGTTTTCAGATAAAAGTTGTAGATAATCACATCCCTAATGAGTTTGTGTTCTCCGATTTTTTCTAAAGCCTGTCATTTTCTGACATATAACACAAACATATGTTCTTTTAAATGGAAACCATAGTTGGCCAGGCGCCATTTTTAAGCTTTTCAGTGATATAAGCTATAATACGTTTTTTTTCTCAAAAAATTTCTGAGTTATAGACAATAATTCTTATCTTTCTTGACTAATTTCACTTAGTTGGCATGGTGTTCTTATTTTGTTATGATTTAAAACTTATAAAAAGACAAAATATTATATTATTAAACGGCCCTTTACGAGGCTCTTTACTCTTTACAATTTACATTAAGTACACAAACGAAAAATTAAAAAAATACATAAATGCATCTTTTTAATCTTTTACTTTTTAAAACTGAATTCCTAGCTTTTCTCACAGAACGACCGGTAGACTTAATTAAACTTCTCCTATATTGCCTCTTCGAGTGCCTCTCGGTGTGTCATAATGAAAGTCATGTTGGAATCACTCTATTAAGCGCGGGTATAAAACCATTCTCTAAAAAACGTAACGTATCCTCGAAACTGTATGGCCAAGAAAAGTTGAACCAATAATCCTACACGCTTTTCTTCATTTGAAAAATTCATATTTACAGTTTTTGTTTATTTTAATTTATAAAGTTTTGATGTGACAGTTTCACATTTCTGAGAGAACGATTGAACTTGTTTCCATGGCTAACTAAATGAAATTAGTCAAGAAAGATAAGAATTGGCTATAACTCTAAAATAAAATGGCGCTTTTTATGAAGTCATGGTCAACTATGGTTTGCATTTTAAAAAAACATGTCTGTGTCGAATGTCAAAGATGACAGACTTTAGAAAAAATCGGAGAACACAAACTCATTAAGAAAGTGATTATCTACAACTTTTATCTGAAAACTTTTTGTCTATAAAATTGATTATAATGGAATTATGGAAAATTTTTAAAATAGCCAAAATTTGTTTTTTTTTTCGAAACATCCAGTAAGCGATAAACTTTTTCAAATAACTGAAAGACGCATATTTATGACCCTACAAAACTGCAATTCTTTCCCCATTTAACCGACTCTCTATCTCCAGTAGTTTCCGAGATACCCATAGAGAACATCGGAGGAAACTCACCCTGTATAAGCCTCGTATCTTGGTCTCCATTCCACAAGTCTCTTTGTCCTCCGTTCATCTGTTATACTAGCCACATATCCTACCCAATTCCATTTAAGATCTAAGACAGATATCACCGCATCTCTTACGAATAAAGCCGGGTCCAGACCAAGCAGCCAAGACAGAAACATTCATGTTTTACGACAAAGATGCGACAAATCCAATACATTTCTGCGACATTTTTGTCTCATTTTTGTTTTGTTTCCAAATTCGGAAACTTGTGAATGAAATACCGTCTCGGTAAAGTTTAAAGAGTCTCTGTTTTGTCGTGTATTTTACAAGTTGTCGGCGCAGTGTAGATATCGTGCGTTGCCAAAAGTAGGGAACCAATAATATCACACAAAGTTAGTACTGTGAGAACTCCCCCGTTTTTGAGAAAGCTCACGGACGCCGAGTTGCCTTGGTTCGGTTCCTCGGGCACCACCCCCAACGTTTAAAGTGTTTGAGAGACCACTAGTGCCAATACGGGTAGCTTTTATACAGTGGAGATACCAGGGAGTAATGAGATGAAAAGAAAATAAAACTCACAATTAACTACAACGTAACACTAGGTTTTTATTTAATAAATTACTTATTTTTATGTTCACGTTATGTACAAAAGTAATCAAAGAAAGTTCGCGTTCTCTAATTGTAACAAGAATAAAAATGAAATAAATGTTCAGTACCTCGTAGCACAAGATTTACACTAACAACCGTGTACCTCTAGAGTTTTGATCGATTAATCCCGATACGTAACTCTCTGACTGATTCTATCACGCGAATTCAAAACGCGTTCCCGAAATGACGTTCTATTAAATAAGACGACGCGAGTTCCTGATCGGCGTCGAATTTAGCGGCGTCCTAATGAACATAGACAGGTAGATACCGGAGCAACACACTCTACTACGACGCGACTGTAAACGGCGGCTAAGTCGTTACAGGCGTCCCGATGGTCACAGCTAAATATTTATCGGAACGGCGTCCGTTTTGACAGCGAAACACGGACCTCGGATCGGTGTCGGAGTTAAAAGCGTCCCGTGATACATAAACGCGAGTCCTGGATCGATCCCGAAGTTAACAGCGTCCCGAGGGATACACAAATGCGAGTCCTGGATCGATCGCGAAGTTAACAGCGTCCTGTGGGATACGCAAACGTGAGTCCTGGATCGATCGCGAAGTTAACAGCGTCCTGTGGGATACGCAAACGCGAGTCCTGGATCGATCGCGAAGTTAACAGCGTCCTGTGGGATACGCAAACGCGAGTCCTGGATCGATCGCGAAGTTAACAGCGCCCCGAGGGATACACAAATGCGAGTCCCGGATCTACCGCGAAGTTAACAGCATCCCGAGGGATATACAAATGCAAGTCCCGGATCGACGTTAACGTTAGCGACGTCTAGGCGAGTTGTACGTCGTTCGGATGAGCGCAGCCCGCACACACACCGCCCGGTCAGGACCGCTTCGGGATTTCGGCGAGATCCCGTCCAGCGTCACTGAAGCAGGGTGTCGTCCGGACGACACACCTAGAAAAATACGGGAGCTACAAAACCAGCTTCGGGATTTGGGCGAGATCTTGTTCTAGCTCCATGAACATTCGCGACCCGTGCGTTTACTGAACTACCCTGACTGTCCCTTAAGAAGATGAATTAATTATTAGCCCGTAATTAGCTTTTCCTAGAGATACACTGAACAGGAGCAGATAGTCAAACAGAACCTTTAAAAGAAAAGGCCACCATTCATGACGACCTATCCGTAGCACAGCGTAGTCCCCCTTTTGCCTGGTCGGCAACCCTGTTAATTTTTAATATTAATAAAGAAAACTAAAAACTCTCGTCTCCGCACCCGAAGGATATACCATACCGGAGCAGATAGTCAAACAGAACCTTTAAAAGAAAAGGCCACCATTCATGACGACCTACCCGTAGCACAGCGTAGTCCCTCTTTGCCTGGTCGGCAATGGTTGTTCTCCCGCGCTTTTAATATCCTAACAATCTTGTCAAGTAACTCCCTTATCCCTATAACACGTCCAGGTAGTCGAGTAAACGCTTAATAACTATAAAAATAATACGACCTACCCTCGATCACTTGGCAGGGCACTCCGGACTCGAACCTCACTGTATCGCGTGCGACCACAAACTAACTAACTGGAGCTGCTGCAGCCAAGGTACTCGACTGACGCTCCCCTCCACTCGGCCTGCACTAGCAGAGTAGGGCGAGCGGCGCAAACGGTTCGGTTTTTCGCATTAAACTATAGCGACCAAAACCGATCAAAACTCTCTTACAAAATGGCAATTAAATATTTAACTTATTTAATTCAACAATAGGAACACTAATGAAGTTCATTACAATAATGAGTTAACAATAAAATACATTGACTGTCATTATCAAAAGGAAATGAAGTCTCTATTATTCTAGTATAATATTAACACAATATACAGGGTGGCCCAGAAATTTTATGAACTACATTACAGTACTGTGGAGTGCTTGTACTGCTAATATATGACATTAGTACTATATGATCGAAAAAAACGGAGTCAGCGATGGCTATGAAATGAAGATCGTTGTCATTTTATATGGGAAATGTCATGAATCGTCATTTTCAAGCCAACTGGACGCCGTTTTTATATCATACGGTATATGGTGGAATGCTCCATCTTTATAAAAAAAATGTCAGAATAGTAGAACACGGAGAATACCTGCTGAAATGTTATACGGATTTTTCTGGGTAATAGAGCTTTATAGAGCGCATTTATTATTATGCGAGCGTAAAAACAAAGACTACAAAATTGTTACAGAAAGCTGGTGCATTAGAGGAGATTTGCTTAGCATTAAATATAAACTCGGTTGATGACGTTAAGAAGAAAAAAATTGGCTCCGGGAGGCACGTATAACCGCCCATACTAAAATATGTTAATAAAAAGTTGGAAGGCAGTTCTTTTAGTTTCAAAGCAAAGGAATTTTTCCAATTTTTTTATCTCAAAAACTGCGACTTTGACTGATTTTGATGTTATTACAAATTTTGTTGCAAATATTATTCCTAATCTTAAATTAAAAACCGCGTTTCGTTAGCTACTGTAATTTTTGAGTTACGATTTTTTAAAATTTTTACTTTGAATAAGAAGACTAAGGAAGGAGCATATCAAAAATGTTAGGTACACCGCGATGGGCCTCAAGTATGGCCGACTTAAATTCCGGTTTATCAGTGTCGTTCTAATTTTATTTAAAAAATGTAAAACTATGATGTAGGGTAGACGTGGGGTAGACTCAATAATTTGTTGTTTTATTTTATGTTGTGAATAAATGTTGGTAGTTATTAAAATTGTTATAAAAATATATAATTCTAATAAAAATAGATAAGTTATAATAAGTATTTATTACCACAAACATCCGATACGCTACTGAAGCAGGTAAGTCAAATTAACGTATCTAAATTCTTTGACATCTAATCTTTGACAAGTAATAAATAAAAGCTAAAATGCAAGAAAAATATATAATTTAGTTAATATAAGTGAATTTCATAAATGATCGGTTTACTACACGTATGTATATTATATAGTCACTTACTAGCGAAAAGTTTGAAATTTGAATTTTTGCCGAGATCTACCGCACGCTACACAACCAACTATTTTAGAGTCTTTTTCGATAAATCGCGATAGTTTCACTGTTAATTTAAGTTCTGCCACAATTTCCATCTAGATTTACTACCTTTATACAACTATCAGTAGTAGAATAAATAATAAATAACATAAAATAAGCTCCGTAAAAACTGACAAATCCACAACATTTCAAATCAAATTCAAATGTGTCAAATGAATCGTCAAACAGAACTGTCAAGGATCCCCACCCTAGAGAGCTTTTATGGTGGCTTTTCCGCCCACCATGCATGAATACATGGATAGCATTATGCTCCTTCCTTAGTCTTCTTATTCAAAGAATTTTTAACCCCCTCCCATTCCCCCTTACCAACCCGCCACCCCCACCAAAAACTAATAGCCAGATTCTTGGGTGCCACAGTATTTTTGTGCCAAATTTGGTTAAAATCGGTTTAGCGGTTTTTGAGTTATCGCGTTACAGACGGACAGACAGACAGACAGACACCATGAAAATATTTTGTATTTAGGTCAAATAACTCTTTTTAAGTGAAATTAATTTTTTTTTTGCCGATCTTAATAACCTACCATAGGAACACGGAGTATTGTAGCTAAACGATTAGATTTTTACAAATTGTAAGTTTTGGATACATTTTATTATTGCTACATAATATCTGATCAATAAATGATCTTTACTGAATTAATCTTCAGTAAATATTTAGTATTAAAAACTTTGATACCCTTGGAGAAATGAAGCCTCAACATTTTTACTGCAATTTCATAAAATTGAAAATATTTCAAAACGGTAAGGTTTAAGTGTGATAAACCTTAATGAAATTTACCTTTATTTCAATCGTAGAATTCAAAAATAGAATAATACACAGGGTGTTCCATTTAAAAAAATACAACTATAATATTTTTTACTTATTTGGGACACTCTGTATATTGTAAACATATTTTTAAATTGTAGAACTAATAGTTCTTCAACGAACCCAAAACTTACAATTTGTAAAAATCTAATCGTTTAGCTACAATACTCCGTGTCGTATGTGGTGAACAACCCTGTATAGTATACGAGAGAAACAGAAAAAAATATATCTGGGGTTTCTTTTTGCAACATGGGATGGCGAGTCTGCTGACAACACTACTGGCTGCTAGTAATATATATTTATCTTTTTCCTGGTAGAAAGGTCACATGATTAATAAAACTGATTCGTATATACTGAACTTTGTTGTAGTTTTGTCCTCGCGGTATAGACACTTTGTCTCAAATTTTTTGTCCTGTCTGAATTTCTCATTTTTGTCGCCAGTTTGTCTTGTTTTTGTGTCAAAACTCAAAAACGTGTTCACTTTCTGTTGCCTTGGTCTGGACCCGGCATAAGAGATGCGGTTTTTGTTTATTAGCTTCTTAAAATTTAAATTCTTGCACAGGGTGTCCCATTTTCGTGTATTTTATGGGATTTCTCCTTAGAAGTAGACATACAAATATGCAGTTTTCACATCACTGCGCTACTTTTTCATGAAGCTAAAGATGCTACACATAGATTTGTCTCAGCTCTTTTGACTACTCTCGTATCTCGGTTATCCTGTAATTTATAGAAAAGTTGAACACTGAGTTTCATAGAGATTTTCACGTAGAATCCAGCAGTGTAACTAGTTTTTCGGTGAGAGCTGCCATTCTGAAAATATGACTCAAACTTTTTTAAATCGGACATCCTGTATATTATTCTTTTTTTTTTATTTTATAAGGCAAATAAAATATTTTTTTATTATGAGCTTTCTAAAAATATACTATACTTTATACTTATTTTCATAGATAAGGTAAAAAATGCATTATTTAACTTTTTATAATAAATCAACCTAGTTTAAAAAGTATTATTATTTAATTTAATTTAATTTACCACTTAATTTTATTTTTTGCCATGTTATCTTAAAAATTGGGTCTAAAATGGACTTATGCAGCTTTTAGCTAGTATCCTACCAATCAAAGTTATTGATATTTTGATGCACTTATGCAATAATTCTACACACAGAAAAGAGAAAATATGTTTCTTTTGACACGATCTACAGCTAAAGTTACAATATTTTTTATTTTTATTTCTGGGACACCCTGTATAGGTACATCAAAACATTTCTCGTTACTTCTTGAGATGAAGAAAACTTATTTTACAAATATTATAATGTAGCGGCATCTAGAAAAATAGATATGATCTAGGGTGTCACCAATCAAATCAATAAAAAAAAATGAACGTTTAGTTAAAAAAATTGTTTTTAGTGTTAATATACCTAAAAGCAGACCTGAGAATTCTGCAGCATATTATAAACACCGTTGAGCAGCGCAAGGAAAATGAAAAAATTTCAATGCAGGAATGTTTAAAGGTTGCTATAAAGAAGTATCAAAAAATTACTGCGTAAGTATTCAATGCAATTTTATATGTTTTCCCGAAAGACTAACCGTTTTTTAAATAACAAATATTGTAATATTTGAGGGGCGTTTTCACCCTCTTGGAATTTGAGATTCGAGAAACCCCTCCTTATCGAACCTCTACACCACACAGTCAATCCTTTTGTCAAAAATCAGCTTTAAACGTCAAGCAGTTTAAGCAGAATCGTGATTACTCAATGGTCATATTTTATGAAACACCCTGTATAAATTTATAAAAAAATCTTAAAATATGTAAAACAACAAAATAAAATATACGTGTTTAAGAGTTTTTCCGAAAAACTCACCGGTTTTTAAATAAAAAATATTTTAATATTTGAGGGATAGGGATAGTTTCACCCCCTTAGAATTCGAGTTTCGAAAAATCCCTTCTTATCGAACCTCTACACCATAAAGTCAATCTGTTTTCCAAAAATCAGCTTTTTACATCAAGCGCTTTAAGCAGGATCGTGATTAATCAATGACCAGATTTTTCGAAACACCCTGTATACATTTTTAAAACATCTTAAAATTTGTAAAAAAACAAAATAAAATATACGTGTTTAAGCGTTTTTTTGGAAACTTGACCGTTTTTTAAGTAAAAAATATTGTAATATTTGAGGAGTGGTTTCACCCTCTTAGAACTGGAATTTCGAAAAATCCCTTCTTATCGAACCTCTACACCCTAGAATCAATCTGTATGCCAAAATTGAGCTTCTTACGTTGCGTGGTTTGAGCAGGATCGTGATTAATCAGTCTGTCAGTCACTTAAGGATATTGTTAAACTGTCCTCGCGAAATAACCCGAAGTAGGCCAAGGTCAAAGTACAACTCAACTTTCTGATCGTGCTTTTAGCGATTTGAATGACATTTTGGGGGTAAAAGTTACTATAAGTTTGACATATTTTAATGCTAAAAAACTTTCGACATATTCACCATAGAGATGCATATGGGTTATCACTGGAATATTTTTCTAAAAAAACGTGCGCCACTGACTTTTATTTTAATCTTGAATACCGATTAAAAGTTGTATCTTGATATTTATATATAGCCCCTATGCACGTCTATGGTGAATATGTCGACACTTTTTAACCATTAAAATATGTCGCACTTATAGTAACTTTTACTCTCAAAATTTAATTCGAATCGCTAAAAGTACTTGGAAGAAAATTATAATAAATGGAAAAAAAAATAAGATTTTAACCTCCTGTATCTATACGAAACAAGGCAGAATCGGACGGGCCAATGTTGATATAAAAAATAAATCTTATTTTTACATGAGGAATCTCAGAGTTTTGAAACATCCTGTATAAAGACCATGACTTTTTTCAACAAGCTTTAAACTTAGAAACCATTTTCAAAACGGATAGCAAATGTGCGTCTATGATTTTAAAAACATATCTTGATATATTTGTTTATTTCGTAAAATGTTCTGTTTTTAAAATCACCAAAACTATTTTTAATAGTTTTATTTTTTTAGTATTCTGCATGAATATAAGACTAACATAATTCTGATTTAATTTTAGGTGGGTTGAAGATTTCAACAATTCCTTTCGATACATAGTCCTTTTGGAGTACTGTGTTACTTCGTTAATGCTAGCAGCTATTTTAGTGCAAATAATACAAGTAATAAAAATATATCATTTTATTTTCTAATTTATTTTTTTTTATTATTTCTATTAACATAATAAATTTCAGGGTGTTAAGGTATGGTTCAATACCAGTTTCTTTATACTCAGCTTTTTGCAGCTATTTACTTTATCATGGAATGCAAACGAAATTATAATTGAGGTACGTATACAAGGTGTTCCAGACTGAGCATACATTAGAAGTTTCTAAAGAACGACAATATTTACATCGGAGATTTATTGCACATCATTGTTTCACGATCTGTCGATTAAAAATATGACGACGCTTCCGAACGTACCCGAATTTGACAGGAACTTTCTTATTTTAATGGATACCCCCATTTTTCATTACATATTTAAATTATCTGTTAAATTTGATGATTTTGATATCAAACACCCTATATCTAACATTAACCGTTTTTGAGAAAAAATATTTTAAATTTTTAGAGAAAAAAAACTCCCTGTCAAAAGAATTTGTATATCCTAAACATCAAATTTAGTGATTGCTACAAACACTGTGACATAAAGAGAAGACATGTGGCTATCTATTTCAAAGTCAAATTGTATAATACTTTACACGGGGTGTCCCAGAAATAAGTACAGATATTTTAATTGGTAGAATATTTCGACCCCAGAAACACGCCTATGAGGTTTTTTCGCAAAAAAAAATTGAAAATTTGAATTTCTTTCCAAAAAATCATTTTTTTAAAACTTTCAAAGCGAGGGGTAAACCGCAGAGGGAAAAGTGTACACCGTAATTCCTTTTACTCAAATAATTCCTCAGAATCCCTCGTAATTCCTTCGGAATTCCTTGGAATTCCTGGTCTTCAAGGTCAAGGTCAATCATTCAAGGTCTTCCTTGGAATTCCTTGGTAGGAACTCGGTAACTCTTTCAGTCTGAACCAGCGTTGCCACCTCGGTTTCGCAGTTCCGCTATGAATTTTCTGGTGATTTTTATAAATGTCTAATGTCTCTATAAGTACTAGATCTAACAATAAAAAGTACTATTACGAGATTTACGTTTTTTTAGTTAAATTTTAGGACTAATAGGGGATCATGAGGTAAAAATACTGGAAATATGTCGGCACTTACTTATTAAAATTAATTTTTCTCGGGATTTTTTGAAAATGATAGGTACCTAGTTATACTCGTATCTATAGGAAAGGAAATTAATAAAACTTCAGTTGCGCGTCATAATACGATCACCAGTAAATTCCATAAGATTACGCATGGTATCATTGATGAAGTGCAACCTACAGTTGTATTAATTTCCCTATACCTAGGTATTATTCCGAGGAAATGAAAAAATCAACTTTACACTTTCTGAGTACTTAATAAAAAAATCTTATGAGGGTTTCTTTAAAATGGCGAAATCAAGGAACGTTATAAGTAGATCTCTCGGGGGTGGTTCGGCCGTACTATTGGAAAATATTTTAGATATATAATCGAGGGTACAATATTAAATTAAAAGAATATCTAACCTGTAGATATTTGATATTGGGAAATTTTGGAAGCGAAAACGAAAAACGGATAATAAAAAATCGCCTGCAAAACGTTTTTCTTTAAATTTAGTACTACCTATTATAGTATTCATGGTTTACTAATGTTCGTTAATTTTTTATAAAGTTGCTTGTAATTCCTCTTAATTCCTGTGGAATTCCTCTAAATTTAAAAAAACTAAGGAATTCCTTGGAATTCATTGGAATTCTTACGGAAATAATTGGAATTCCTAGTAATTCCTATGGAATTCCTTGGAATTCCTCGTAATTCCTTGGAATTCCTGTAGAATTCCTTCATAGTGTACACCATAATTCCTCTGCGGTTTACCCCTCGTTTCAAAGTAAAATAACTCGGTTATTTTGGACTTCTTTGAAAAACGGTAAAGAGAAAATATGTTTCTTTTATCGAGATCTACCACCCCTTAAAATATCTGTACTTATTTCTGAGACCCTGTATTGTCCGTATAATAATAAGGCTTTGTAGCACCGAAACAAAGCAGAATCGGACCTATGCTATGTTGATATGAACAATAAATCTGCAATCTATAATTTTTACTTGAGGAATAAATATTACATGTTTCTTGGAACACCCTGTATAGGATGATTCAAATTAGACTTCCACTTAATTTCTAGATAAAACTATAGCTAGACAAAACTTATTTCTAGAGTTCGGATGCTTTGTCCAAGGCAATTTACGAAACACACTGGTACAACATGGATAAAGAATCGGCCACCTTGATTAAAATAATGTTACTTAGATGCCAAAGACCACTGTCCATAACGATTCCTGGCATTGGACCAGTTACCACGGATGCAGCTGTTTCGGTAATATTATATTCCATTGCTGAAGATAATCCAGATTTAAAAATCGAAATTCGATAAGTTATTCTAATTATTCTGGTAATTACAATTCCAAAAGTATTTTAAGCTGATTTGAAAGTTTATACACTCAGATACAAAAAAAACGCACCAGAGAAATTTTTGGTCAAATTTAAGGTGTTATATTTTTGATATTTTTAGCCCTATTTTTATGAACTTTTTAGCAACCTGTATATAATTATATCAATTTTAAACTCAGTTTTTTATGAACTTTAGTATTTGGCATATTATACAGGGTTAATCGAGGGGTTGATTTTTTACCATAACCAAAGAGTAGATAAGACAAGAGACGACAGTTCGCGCGGTACCTTTCATGTTTGAGTGGTGGGGAGAGTGACCTCGTCTCGCTTGTCCCTTTAAATTTGCGTAATTTTTTCGCGGGAAATTTGAAATAGACTATTATTAAAACTTGCCTGTATAGCTTATAAATAGTTACTGTATGGGTAAAGAAATAAATAGAAACGAAAAAAAATTAGTTTTCTAAATATTATATAAAATAAATTATAATTAGAAACATATTTGTGGGGGAATAAAGATAATAAAAGCAATATTTTGTATATCGTGGTACACAAAGATAAAGTGACCAAGTCGATTTGTAAGAAATGTTTTATTTACGTGTATTTTTTTTATATATGGACTTGAACAAGTGTAATATCACAATGTGGAGTTTATGTACAAAAAATAGAGTTGCTCAATTTTTTTTGTAAAAATATATTACAAGCTTCTAACCATATCTTCGATCTATGGATTACATTTAGTTTAAATAGTATATTTCTATAAAAATACTTTTCAGGATCCTTTGGAAAAGAGTGAAATATTATGTTTGTCGAAGAATAAGACCTATTTTTGCAGTCTTTATAAGCACACACATTGCCACCAACTCGTCTTTTCCTGCTACTCGTGTCCTGTTCGGTATTCATATTTAACATAATTACAAATTAGTACGCAACAAAAACGATACTAAAATTAAACCTTAAAAACTCTCAAAATTATAATATATTGAAAAACTCTGAAAACACACTTTAAAAACAACTAATCAGATTTGTTTATGTTTAAACTTGATAAGCCCAGCTGATTAGCGTCCTAAAATCATAGGTTAGAATTTGGATAGAATAAATAAAATACGCCGTTGTCAGATTTTATCTGTTTATCTTTGAAATCGATCAACTTAGTCATTCTGTTTCTTTGATATTATCAGTACATTGCGAAAAAAGAACCTAAACCAACCTAAACAAAAAATTTGCATTTCCGTATTACCATACATTACTTATATCCTTCTTATATTATTAATTTATTTTCAGGAAATTTGGTTTATTTTTCGAAGAAATATACTTGGCAACAGACAAAATGGGACTTGATGGGACCCAATATGGGACCTTTAAATTTTAATATCTGCGTCTCTCTCGCGAAATTCGACTTCTTTGTTCACTGTCGTCTCTTGTCTTATCTACTCTTTGCCATAACTTTAAAACATTCTGTGCAATAGTTTCGTGTGTAAATTTTCCTGAAATATAATTTTACGGTTGTTACCATGTCTCCTGAGCATTTTGTTTTATGGATCATGTCAATATATGCCTTGGTTAATTTTTAAGCGCGAAATAAACTTGACACCAACAATTTGCAATTTTCTCAATTATCATTTCTTTTTGAAGTTATTTTTCAATATGATAAGCCGGCTTTGGTAATTATTGTGAACTATATACCTACTGCTCTGAACTGCCCATCATGTTCAACGTTTGGATGCTTGGCAGGAGGGTTAGAGGTTGCTTCATTAATTAACTCCGCTTGGTTCCTAAAGAAGAATGGGAAAGCATAACGCAATATGATATATGCAGCCTCAATGACAGTATGAACGGATGTATACAGCCAGTTATAGCAGCCAAGAGAAGCAATGCAAAGTATTAGGGTACTTTTTATTTTTTTTTTTCTGTTTGTATACTTGAGTATTACAGATGCTTTCTTTAATATTGTTAGTTCTGTTATCGTCATTAATGTTTATTAAAACCAGGACTGTATCGTTACTCGTTAAAGTTCCTTTTTTTTTAGTATAAAGTATCTACATTTCTGACATTACGACAATAGTCACCAAAACCATCTCGTCATATTAAAAAATTACATCAAAAGATAATGATAATTGGAAAAAATTACAAATTGATCGTGATCAGTTCATTTCGCTCTTAAAAATTAACCAAAGCATGTATTGATATTGATATGAATCAAAAATCAAAATACTCAGGAGTCATTGTTCTGACCGTAAAATTATACTTTAGGAAAATTTACAAACAAAATTATTGCATAGGGTGTTTTAAAGTTAGGGTAAAAAAGCAGCCCTTCAATTAACCCTGTATAATATGCCAAATACTAAAGTTTATAAAACACTTAGTTTGTGAATTAAAGTTCATATAATTATACACAGTTTGTTAAAAAATTAATAAAAATAGGGCTAAAAATAACAAAAATATAACACTTTAGATTTGAACAAAAATGTTTCCTTTGCGTTTTTTTGCATCTGGGTGTATAAACGTACATTCTAAAGGACTTCTAGTTAGAATTGAAGGCTTTAACGTTATAAGTTATATTATAGTTATCTCTTATATCTTTTGAACATTTAATAAAGACAAAGCTTAAAAAAACTAATTTTAATTAATTATTAGCTATTCACATATAAAAAAATGAAAAGATGTAGAGTATTAGAGCGAATACGTTAAAATAATATATAACAGATCAAAATGTAACGTATAGTTTAGAGATACCATTCTTTGTATAGATCTTAATCCAGGGATGGCTAAACTTTTTGAGACGTTAGTCAAAATTTGTTCATATTTTTATTTAACTAAACATTTCTTTTTTTTCAGAGACTGAAACTTGCTTATTCCGTATTTTCTGTGCTACAAACCAAGTAACTATTAATATATTGGTTATTTAACAAGACATCGATGTAGAATTGTTTATATAATATAGTGTCAGTAGTGTCACAAATATAGCCCGCATTTCTTTAGGTGAAGTTTAACTTCCCAACTAGCAAATATAGTTCCCAGTCCTTCTTAAAATGTCACTGCCCCTAAAGTATAGCTCTTAGGCCCACTCTGCCACTTAAAATGTTACTCTATAAAGAATAGTCACTTTGAAGTATATTTCGAGAGTGGCCGGTTAGTCCCTACCTACCATAAAAGTGGAAAATAAACACCCCGATTGCAAGTCGCAAACATGTTATTTAAAGAAATGGCTGGAACTACCCGAATCTTCGAATATGACACCTTAAAAGACCAAAAACTTTATAGTAACTTTTCAAAGTAGGGGTTACCAACAAGTGCTACCATAATGCCTCCATTAAGTTGTTGTTACTTTATAATAACAATTTAAGTTACGGGGTAGTCGCGACCACTACACCTTGTTTCTTTTAATTTATAGTAGCATTGAAAGTAGCAAAATGGTTACTACTACCTTCCTAGGTCACTATAAAGTAACCGTCGCTCATCCAATGCCACTAAAAAGTCACGGGGGTCAAAAACGGCTACTTTATAGTGACATACCCTAATAAATGTAATTGTCTCAGATTGCATCGTGTGCTGCTCTGTTTTAGTATTTTCTTTAACTTGCTTTTAAGTTTTATTAAAATTTTGAAAAATCCCTAAGGTAAAAAAAAACAAATTTAGATGTTCTAGTACTTTCTACCGAAGAATTAAACAAAAAAAAATCACTGCGAGCCGATGCATAAACATCAGAAACAAAAACTACATCTTTCTATAATCCTACTGATGAACATCATAAATCAGGTAGTGACTGGGACATTTTTAAAGCTGTTTCTGTAGATGAGTGTAGTGCTAGTTCATCTGAAACTGAATCTCAGAGGAGAACTAATTTGAGAATCAACAATATAAAACAAGAGCTGAAAGAGTGGGCGTTAAAATACTCTGTACCTCATGTAGCTCTGAATAATATGTATATAATATATAGAAACACTAATAATAGAAAATGCACAATAAGTAAAAATTAACTTCAAACGACAAGGCGGAACGTTATAGTGGCACCAATGGAATGTATAGTCGCCACCACCGCGATCGGTGTAGCAACGCTCCAATTAAGTGGCAATTTGGTGGCGCAGGGAACTTTCTTCAAAAAATCACTTTATGGTTCCAAAGAATCGTTGACCATGTAGTTCCAAAAAAGTTATTGTTTCTATAAAGTCGCCTTTGGATTGCTACAATTGTCACTTTATCAATCCGAAGATTTTAAAGGTCCAAACGGGTATGGTTGGCCTAATATGTTATTGTTCCCGGTACTTTGTGGAAACATATGGAACTATAAAGTATTTTTCGGATTGAACGGCCATATTTTTTTCATGAATTTTTAGACGAACAGCCAAATGACTCAAACATTATACGTTTTTAAGCTAAATATACCTAGATTAAAGCTTTTTTCCTTAGTTATTTTGTTATTTCTGACGGTGGACTAATATTTTAGAGTTTGACCCCGGTTTCAAGCAAATTATTATTATTTTTTAATTACAAACATGAGTTTCTATTCAAATAATATAATAATTTGAAATATTTTGAGAGGCGCTCGAAAATTTTGTTATATAAACCCACTATTTTATTCAGTAAAGTTGATTGCGTTCTGGAATTTACCTAAAAAAGGCGTTAAAATTGCACGGTAAATAACAAATAACGAACAAAAAATAATGGCTTTCATAATTATTTTCCATCATGACTTTTATTTTTATGAAATGTGAAATTGCATGAAGAGGTCGCTGCGAATAAAGTTCAACAGTTTAACGAAAGTTCCACATGTCGGTGGCTAACAGTTGGCTGCCACGAACCCGCGTCTAGGCAGCTTCGTAACGGATAAGTCGCATTCACCAGTAGGCTACTTTATAGTAACACATCATAGTTCTCTTTTAGTGACAAAAACTATCCAAGACACTACCCGGCTACTCAAAATCTTTCCCCATTTTGGTCGCAGTTACTTAGCAGCTACGAATATACGACGTAGCCGCCGATGGT